TTTAAAGGTAAAGACTGGTATACTTACCTAATAAGGCTTTAAACTTAAAATAACAATATGCATAAGTTGTTCAAAGAATAAGAGAAAGCATTAGAGTGTACGTATTAAAAGATACACTAGTATGATTTGTGGTGGTAGAGTTTCAGTTTTTTGTTTTGTTTTGTAAACTGTCAACAACACTAATGAAGAATCACAAAACGAAAGCACAATTTCAAAATACATTTTACAAAGAAATATGCATAAGCCCAATGTAGCTACTGCTACTAAACATACATCTACCCTATTTAGAGTTGGAGAAATTCAAAACCAAATATGAACAAATTTTACTTGAAGGCAATTATTAATTTCAGAGCTATCCTTGAAAGTTACTGGTGGTCTTGTCCAACATTACTTTTCAGATGAGAAAACTAGAAAATGGGAAGGTTATATGGCTTATTCAAGGGCACACAACCACTTAGTGACAAAATCAATTTAAAACCCAGCTGTATCTCCTTCTAACTTAAATATAAAAATATCTGTGATTTTATATTTTAAAATAAAAAACTGATTTATTAAGAGCTATAATGAGAGAAATGAAGTTCTGATGCATGCCAGAGCATGGATGAACCTGGGTAACATTATACTACGCAAAGTTAGTAAGTTCAAAGAGAACATGCAAATATATACCAAAAAAAAAAAACCACCCAAATCCACTGCCATCGAGTCAATTCCAACTCATAGCAACCCCCATTGGGTTTCCAAGGCTGTAAATCTTTATGGAAGTACGTTGCCTCATCTTCCCACAGAGCAGCGGGTAGGTTTGAACTGCCAATCTCCTGGTTAGCAGCCAAATGCCTCACCTACTATACCACCAGAGCTCCTAAGGGGAATATAATAAAAAACAAAACAAAACTCACTGCCATCGAGTTGATTCAACTCATAGCAAGCCCTCCTTGGGTTTCAGAGGTGGTGTCTCTACAGAAGTAGGTTGCCCAGTCTTTCTTCTGAGGAGTGGCTGGTGCATACGAACTGCCAGCCTTCTGGTTAGCAGTCAAATGTCTTAGGCACTATGCCACCAGAGCTCCCAAAAGGAAATATATAGAAACCAAAATTTAATAGTGGTTACTTGGGGTGGAGAGTTTTTGCTTAGGGTACAGTGAGTTTATGTTAATGGTAGTGGGATATTTGGAAAAGGAGAGTGAGAATGGATGCACGACTTGACAAATATAATCAATAATCACTAAGGCATACATTAGAAATTGTTGAATTGGTATATGTTTTACCATGTATATTTTCACCACAGTGAAAAGACAGAGAAAGAGAGGTAAAATACCCAGGGCTTGATAACTCTGAAAAGTAGTGACTCTGAAAAGCAACAGAAATGTATAAATATTTTATTTTGTCCATTTTGCTGAATTTGAGGTAGCCTGGCTAGTTAAAATTTACAATGGCCTACAGTGACTTTGATATAGACCTCATTACTAGACATGGATAACAATTTACATGCACCATCAACTATTTAAAAAGAGCTCTGGTGGTTTAGTGGTTAAGGCATTTGGCTGCTAACCAAAAAGATTGGTGGTTCAAACCCACCAGCTGCTCCTCAGAAGAAAGATGAAGCAGCCTGCTTCTGTAAAGATTTACAGTCTTAGAATCCCAATGGGGAATCAGAATTGACTTGATTGTAGTCAGTTTGGAGTTTTTATCAATTATTTAGACATGAAGAGCTGCTTTAATAAAATAATCCACATAAATAAATATAGAAGTTGAAATCTAAGCCAGAAATTGAATTGTATTTTAGCTATTATATTAAATTTATTGGTACACTATAACTAAAATTAGCACTTATACACTGGGAGGAGCAGAAGAGTTAAAGACAACAAAGGTAAATATCATTACATAACAAAGGTAAATATTATTACATAGCCAATTCTGCAATAATAATAATGTACAAGTGGATCCATAGAAATGCAAGCTGAACAGGTGCAGGAAAGCGAATGGAACTACACTCACGAACATATACAGGTTTGACAGAGAATATTTCTACATATGTATTGACATATGCTGAAAATACAGCCACGTAGAGAACAGAGCATACAAGGGACAAAGTTACGAAACATCTTAGCTATAACCAAACACCTTGAAGGAATGTGTTGCTGGGCCTGGGGGCTCAGGACTATTTTATAGACCTGGGGGCTTGGAGAATATCAAGGACATCAAGGTCAAGTGGCATAACATAGTCCATAAAGACAATGTTCTACACCACAGTGATACTACCTCGGAAAGCCAAGGAGGGGTCACTAGGAGTCAGGTTCAACTTAATGGCAGTGAGTTTGGTTTTTGGTTTTGACATTGTACTTTGGTGAGTAGCGACTGAGGTCTTAAAAGCTTGTGAGCAGCTATCTAAGTTGCAACTACTGGTCTCTACACTTCTGGAGTAAAGAAGAATGAAGAAAATTAAAGGTAACAATTAGTTCAAAGGACTAATGGACCCCAAGAACCCGAGTATCCACTGCTTTAAAACCAGAACGAGCTGGTTCTCAGCTACCACTGCCAATTGCTCTCAAAGGGATCACAACAGGCAGTCCTGGATAGAGTGGAAGAAAATTGTAGAACAAAACTCAAAGTCATAAAAAAGATTATGCTTACTAGTCTGACAGAGACTGGTGGAACCCCCGAGATATGGCCCTTAAACACTCTCACACTTGGAACTGAATAACCCCCTTTGTTCAACAGATATGCCTATAAGGTGAACAATAACACCAGGGAGGTGTGTACGCTTTAGAACAATCAACTGTACCAGATCAAAAGGGCAGCATTTGTCCAGTGATAAACTTAAAAGACAAGAGGGGATAGAAAAGAAGGACAAGTGGAAATGGTAAACACAGAGAGGATGTAGGAAGAGTGCCGTTACATTGTGGGAATTACAATCACTGTCACGAAACAAAATGTGTAGGAATTGTTGAACAGAAAACCAATTTTCTCTGTAAATTTTCACCCAAATCACAATAAAAAGTTAAAAAATAAGTCAGCACTTATATTTTCATAGTAGAAAATAATAATTATGCAAATTAAATAATGAAAATACAGCTAGCCTAGCTGCTGCCCAGACAAAACAGCGTAATGTGACTGAAATTTTTAAAACGTTATTTATAATGTTGTAATTTAAATAAGGTTGAGATACGTGCTCCCTTCAGCAGCACATATACTAAAATTGGAACCATACAGAGAAGATTAGCATGGCCCCTGCACGTGGATGACAAGCAAATTCATGAAATGTTACTTATTTTTGTTGTATTGTGGTAAACTGTAGTCAATGTCATGAGACAAAGTGTATGTGAACTGCTACATGGAAAGTGAATTTGCTCTGCAAACTTTCACCCAAATCACAATTAAAAAAGTAATAATAATGTAAAAAAAAAATAAATAAGGTTGAGATACAAATCCCTTTCTTCTCCTGAACTGCCTTTGATGAAGGCACAAATGAACTATAAAACAGTCAAAATCAAACAAGACATAAACAGAAAAGCACAAGCATATATTCATTAACTGTATATGGAGTGTCACTGCTAACAGGAAAAATACAAAAAACAAAAGAAAAAAACCTCTAAACAAAAGTGAGAGATCGATCAATGAATGCCCTTGTGAAGCTTAGGGCTGATGGAGCTTTTACAGATACAATAATATCTACAAAACACTGTATATGTTGAAAACTACTTGAACCTATCTTCATTTTTCAAAAAACCTAATTTTCTCAAATAAAGGAAAGAAAGTCAGACTTGCTTATTTTCCTATTTAACTTTTTTTAAAAATAAATAAATACAACCTCTCTCTCTCAAAAGACTGCACATGAGACTACACAAAAGGTTAAACTAAACAGATTCTATATTATTTTAGTCTACAACTCAAAGTGCAAAGATAGTGAGGCAGGTCTTGGCTCCATTGGTGAAAATCTGTAGTACACCAAGTTAAAAAAAAAAAAAAAAGTCACTGAAAGTTACTGAATGTAAGTCCTAGTACAAATATCTGCATTCTGCTTAAGACGTTTACACAAGGAAAACCAGAAAATACAGATACATATTGCAAAAGAGGTAAAAGTTTCATCCTCTAACCAGCTTATAAGATTATAGCTGGCTAACGATGAGGGGCTTGATGGAACAAGTGATCTGAAAAGAACTTAATAGTACAGAGAAGTTCCTAAGAAACTGATGCCTTAGATTTCTTTTTTCCTTTTTTCTTTAAATAACCAGGAAAAAAGCTTAAAGAAACTATATTAGCATATTAAAAATCAGTTATCTCTGACCACTAGGCTTATAGATAGTAATTATTTTTATCTTTATGTTTCTTTACTTTCTAGAGTTAAGGGAATACTACATTTATAACTAGAAAATGTTTAAAGAAAGATAAGTATTGGAATAAATGACATAAAGACTAGGCATGCTCTACAGTCCCACTCCTGATAACAATTGCAGAAACTGCACTAGCAGTGTAGTTTAAAAGAAGAGCGCGCGCGCGCACAAACACACATACACACACAGTGCCTGGCGTGCACTAGGCGCTCAATTAGTATTTGTGGAATGAAATGAGTGACTGTATATGTGTAAACAAGTCAAACAACAAAATGCCCTCCGATTTTGTGTTGAACAGTATACAATCACAGTACCGATTACTTTACCCAAAGCTGGCTGACAGCTTAATGATCACTAAGGTCCTCCTTTTACTCTGACACCAGATTACACGTTCAAAACAAATCCTCCTCCAGCCCCGCCCCAAGCCCTACACTAGGCTTCCTCCAGCACTAAAACTGATAGAAACTCTAGGGCCTCGCCGGTGCCTACGCCCTGAGCGAGCGCCCCCCGCGCCTCTCTCCAGGTCGCTCAGGGTCCGCAGACACTCCCGGCACTGCAGAGTCGCAGCCATTCGTCCCTAGGACTCTCAAGTGCTCCTGCGCCCACCCAGCTCCTTAGCCAGCAGTGCCGGCGGCCTCCTCTCCTCGCCCCGGGCGGCGGGCCGTGCAGTACCTGCAAACAGTGATCAGGTTCCTCCGTTCCACCGAAGCATTGCGGGCGCTCAGGCTCTTCTTGCCGCCGCCACTGCCACGGCTCCCGCTCAGGCCCGCCAGGCTTCGAGAGGCCATGGCGGGCTGACCCCCGCACCCCTTTTGTCTCGTACGACCCCTCCGCCCCCACCCGTGCTTCCCGAGGCTCTCGCTAGGTGAGCGACAGTGAGCCGCGGGAGGGAAGTAGGGAAGAGCTCGGAAGGAGGAAGGGAGAGAGGGTGTGAAAGACTGCGGGGTACTAGAGCCCGGGGACTGACAGCTCGCGCTGGGCACCGAAGCACCACACACACGCACGCACCACCTCCGCCTCCGCGCGCGTGCGGGTCGGCGTCTGGCGCTCTCCTACTTCCCTAGGGACCTACGCGGTTGGCGCGTACGCGCGCGCGCGCGCGTTCCCACCGGTCCCGCACGCCCAACCGCTAACACTAGGTCGCCTCTGCGGAGAGGCTCCGAGCATCACGCGCTCATCCCCGCCCTCTCTTCACCTATCCGACCAACGCTACCCCACCTGGAGCCAATCACGGCGCGCCAGGGGCAGGGCTTGCCGCGCGGGTCTTTAAAGAAACGCGCTCGCGCACCGCCCCTGCGCGTGGGCAGCTGTCAAGGCACCGGGCTCGCGCTCGCCGCCCGCGTGCCGCAGACCGCGCGCATGGGAACATAGCCGCTCTTTGAGCAGGCATTGTGGGATGTGAAGCCCTGGGTTCTGGCGACCTACTATGGCCCGGTGCCTGGGAGCCAAGCATGAATGGCTGAGCTACCAAGTTTTAAGTTTTTCCTGGAGCACTCCTCAGTTTTGTAGAGTCTGTAGCTTCAGTGTCGAGAACGCAGCCGTGCTGGCTCCTACACGCGAAGGAAGGCCTGACTTCTCCTGGGAACTGGGTTTCTTTTGTCTTAACGCCCTCCCCTGGCCTGAGAAGCAGAGGCACAATAGACGGAGGAGGGAAAATACCTGTAGAATATTTCTCTTGGGGCGTCTGGTGGTGGGATTTCTTGACCCTCGACCCCACGTCAACCGCTTCCCAGCCTCCAACATAGCCTGCATCCCCGACTGCCCAACCGCGGAAGAACGAGCGCGGTGGGAGTATACAGCCTTCCTGAGCCCTTCTTCGGTTCTGGGCAGCGACCCAGATTGGGTGAGGGGTGGTGAGTTCGGTTGAGCCCCAGTCGTGCTGCTCCTTGAGAGAGGCCAGGAACGCAGTTCTCATCTGGCATGTTCCAAACTTGGTGACCGCTTTCCACAGCTGCTTCATGCCCCCTTCCTCCTTACCTCCCCAGGGCTGGCATATCTACCCACGACCTCTGGCACTCCCCCAAGCCTGCCGTTCCCTTTCCTTTGCTCAGATCTTAGAGTTAGTCCTTAATGACAGCTATCCCTGTATCTTGGTGAGGCCTAGCATTGCTGCTGTGCATAAAATAGGTTCTCAATCAATGTGCACTGAATTTAATTTGAAGTCATGGTTGGCATTCTATTTAAGGAAGGTTGGGCAATCTACTGCCGTAGTGATACAGCCTTGGAAACCCAAGGAGGGGTCACTATGAGTTGGATGGCAGTGAGATTGTTTTGTTTTGTTTTGTCTTTTGAAATTTCAGTTTCGGTGGTTCCAAAGTCCATAAAACTTCCACCACTGTTTTTAAAGTTTCTGTCAAAGAAGATTGTTATAGAATATATAATTTAGTATACTTCTTATATATTGTACAAAGTACTACAGGAGTTGTTACTCTACTGCATGATTTTAAAACACAGAGTTTTGTGTGATAAAACTAGATTATTTCTGATATTTTTTAAATTTAAAAATCTATATTTAAAATGATCAGGGCAATGACACATCACTTTTAACCACTGAGCCAAGTCATACTAAACCAAGAAACCAAATTAATTGCCATCCAGTTGATTCCGACTGGTAGCGAACCCCGTTGTGTTTCCCTGGTGGTAAATCTTTACGGAAGTAAACTGCCCCATCTTCCTTCCGCGGAGGGTTGGTGGGTTTGAACCCCCAACCTCCTGGTTAGCAGTCAAATACCATAGGCAGTACACCACTAGAGTCAGAGTAGAATAAAAATCTGTTGTGTGTGGGGGGAGATATCTGTCTTAAATATTGCACTACAATAAATGTTCGCGTTAAAATTCCTTTATAAGAAAATAATTTGAATAGACTTTAAGCTTTATCGTTCACATGAATTTAATAACGACAAGATTCCCTCCTCCCCCGTTTGTGGGCATTTGTGGCTAGATCAGTGCAATTGTTTCCAAAGATTTCTTGTCTGCTCTACAGTAACATAGCTGGGATTATAAGGAAACTAATCCTCCTAGCAGCTACAACTAAATTTGTATCTTTTTCCTAGCCCAAAAGTATGAATTCGGGTGCACTGGCTATGCAGACAGTCTCAGTAACACTTTTGCACTGATAATGACAAATACACAAATTACAGTTGGTGTTGACGTTGTTGTTTAACCACAAATTAATGCTGCATTAGAAAAGAGTAAAGAGTCACGGTTGTCAAGAAATTTCCTAGAGAGACATCCATGCTATTATGTCCTGAGGAAAAGAATACATATGCCTCAATCAAACTTACTAAGAAGACAAAAATGGGTAATGTCAGATAGAGACGTGATATGCAATTATTCTCAAAATTGGCTTTCTAGCCTCAAGTACATTTTCATGCTATTTGTACTATGAAGTTATATTTATGACTGAAGAATTAGTAAAATTCAATCTTAGATAATTAGGTAACAATTTTAATTTTTTTCAAAGGCTACTTTTAGGGGGAGTCAGTTGACATTGGTACTTACTTAACAATATTTCACTATAAGACAAGCCATTTGCATGTACATTGTGTTGTTAAACTGCCACATGGGGGCCTTATTTGACAAGGTTTCTTCTCCCTTATGCTGAACAGTATGTCCTCAGTCTTATACTTTCACTTGATTACTAAACTAGAGATTATAAATCAATTCTATCTAGTACAGAATATACTACTACTATACAACTACATGATTTTCCACACAACTTTTTGGACTTCTTTTGGCACCCATTTCAGTTCTTCACTTCATTTATCTAAGCATTTGTACAAAGGTTATTCAGAGATGTAAAGAGATTCATAATACAAATCATGAACACAGTAGATGCCTAATTTAATTTAACCAATAGGAATCCCATAGAACTGATTAGGCAGACCACATTCATTCACCATTTTCCCACTACTCCTCTTCCTTTCAAGCAAAGAAGATGAAATTACAAGTATAACATATAAAATGCCTCAAATATAAAAAGCTAGAAGCCAGTGAGATTACCAAACCATAGTTTATTTCAATCTCAAAGAAGAAGTGGACTTTCTAAGTATGGCACAACCCAAAAACCATAATAGAAAACAATGATAATATTTAAATTTTAAATCTACAAAGTATTCCCACAGGCAAGATAAAATGAGTAACAACAAACCGAGAAAAAAATAATTAAAACTGATTTCATGGACAGAGACCTAATTTCCTGTCTATGTAAACAACTCCTGCAGATCAGTAAGCTCTGTTTCGATAGAACAATGAAAGTGGAAGCAAATACGAGTGAATAGTCAGTAGTGAGGATTACACAACTTTTATAAAAGGTAGGTTGTGAAGGGAGAGAAAAAGGGTAGTGGTATAGGGGAATGTTGAGTAGAAGGATAATGGTGTTTTGTTACTGTCATGTTATTTTTCATGGAAGTGGCTTGAGCACACTTAAAACTGATGGAATGTTTTCATTTGGAGGAAAAGATTAGCAAGCAAAAGAGAGAAGAAATGACCTCTCCTAAGAATGTAGAAAGGGCATGGGATCTAAGGCACAGATGGATGGATTGAGTTGAGGTTGATGCTACCAATCCTCAAACATAACTAGAGAGGAAGGTGGAGGATGAGTGCAGATATATAGTTTTGGACTTTGAGTACTAGAAAGTCAAGGGTGTTCCCTTCTGATGGCTTCTACTTTCTCTGAAAAATAGAAGAAAACATCAGCTGCTAAAAATTTCAAGTAGTCTTTTTATGGTGAGTGGTAGAATAAGTTAGCCAATGAAATTTAAAGGACTCCTAGCCACTCCTCTGAAGGAAGGTTGGGCAATCCTACTATCCGTAGTGATACTGCCTCGGAAACCGAGGGGTCGCTATGAGTCGGGGCCGACTCGACGGCACATAACAACAACAACAACAACAAGCCAGTTTGAGGACCCATTTGAGATTGGTGATTATGAATTTGCAAGACATATCTATCTTATTGTGTGACTTTCTCCATCCTTGTTAAACTGCTAAGGTCCAGATAAGAAAGAAAACATTGGTTTCATCCAGGATGGTGATTTTGTAAGAGGGGGAAAGGAAAAGAAAGGCTAAGAGGTTTAAGATATTAGCAGAAGTGTTACTATAATACACTTTGAGTTGGATATAGAAGGGAATGAAGAAACAAGAGAAGCAATGGATTGGAGTAGAAATGAAGGATCAAAGGATTGGATGTTCTGTTGAGTTCAAAGGATAATTATAATAGATCTAGTAGACAAGCAGGAGCTCTGGTAGCATAGTGCCTAAGGCACTTGACTGCTAACCAGACGGCTGGCAGTTCAAACCCACCAGCCACTCCTGGGAAGGAAGGTTGGGCAATCTATTTCCGTAGTGATACTGCCTCAGAAACCCAAGGAGGGGTCGTTATGAGTCGGAGCTGACTCTACGGCACATAACAACAACAACAACAGTTAGACATGCATGTTGTAAAGAGAGATTATGGTCAGAGAGTGGCATGCTTGAACTAGTAATTTTGAGATTAGGGCAATTATGAATTATGGCAACATCCAAGGCATGATCATGGGAGTGTGTGGCAATTATGGTGGAGGGGGAGGTTTAGTGATGAAGGGAGGTCAAGGAACTCAGAAGTCAGAATGTTAAATTGTCATCCATGTTACTATGAAGTCATTCATAGTGATAGATTTAAAGTACACAGTAACAGCCAAAATCTTCAATAGATTCGGATTAATAAATTAGCAATAAAGTAGTGCATTGGTAGTTGACACTACTGTGAAATTACATAAGCCTTAAAATAGTGAAAGCAAATTTTAGTTGC